ACTTTGGTTTAGGGTTACTTGCATGTAGTTATGCATAATTTATTGTTATTATAATAGTAAGTAAATGTAACATGTAACAAGGACAGCTTAAAATTAAGTGTTACTGAAATTTCTTTTTAATCTTTTCTTTAATCTAAACATGAGAGGTCTTTGTACAATTAAAACATCCTGTCAGTTTCGTAGCTTAAAAAAAACAAGAATAACAAAAAAAAACAATGTAGTTAACCAAGATAAATATATATATATATATTTATCTTGGTTAACTACATTGTTTTTTTTTGTTATTCTTGTTTTTTTTAAGCTACGAAACTGACAGGATGTTTTAATTGTACAAAGACCTCTCATGTTTAGATTAAAGAAAAGATTAAAAAGAAATTTCAGTAACACTTAATTTTAAGCTGTCCTTGTTACATGTTACATTTACTTACTATTATAATAACAATAAATTATGCATAACTACATGCAAGTAACCCTAAACCAAAGTCAAACCCTAATCCTAACCCTAACCATATAGAAAGTACACGCAGACCTGCCAACCTGTATGCATTTTGCATAGTGGGTACACATTTTGACCTCAAAATAAGCTGGTACGATTTGTCACTCTGAACTACACAAAAACCTGGTGACGCCTGTCTCCACGCGCAGTATTCAAAACAAGCAACAGAAAAAGGCAAGTGTTTCTAAACCTGTTGTCCAACAAAAAAGAACATAACATGATTTTACTCCACAACGTCAGACAAAGGTTTAAAATAATTTCCTTCCTGATCTGATGTGGCAGCTTATCACAGAATGATGCAGAAATATATTCTATATTGTAATAAAGACTGTCGATTAGCAATGGATTATAAATATAATTAATTATTAAAATATTTGAGGTGGTTTTAAGAACACATAAACATTGTCGCAATAGAGTGTTTTTTGTCTTAATGTTCTTTTTGACTTTCATCATTCAAAGTGTTTCTGACTTTCATTCAGTTGGATGCTTTTGTCCATATTAGGGATTTCCTGGAGTGTGCGACTTCTATTTCTTCTGTAATGCATATGTGGATTTTCAGCGCAAGGATGCCCTCAGGCGTCCAGTATGAATGAACCAGGCATATGTTCATAGCAATGTTTAACGCACAAAATAATGGCCAATCCATAAAAATAATACTCCTCTCAAAATAAATTTGAAGTAGACATGATAAGCCATGTTTTCTGCAGTATACAGAAGTGGCACTTCATGAAAAATTATTTCACCACGTGGACAATTTGCATCAAGTATATGAAGTATGTATAAAAAGAGTATATGTATCTTACTTTATGCTGCCATTCTGTTGCCTCCTCTTCCTTTTTCCTCTTGGCATCCTCCAGCAGGGCGATTTTGGCAGTAAATTCTCCCAACTCAGCTGCCTGCAAAAACCAAGCAGAACACCGTTACAGCACCCACACGGCACGCACAGTACACCCACAATTGCGGACCATTTCAGTACAAGCCCCATGTACCTCCAATATTAACCACATGTGTCTGCCTCTGTGTGTGGTACACACAATCAGGTGGTAGCTTTTTTGTTTGTTTGTTTACATTCTCAGAAGAATTCCCATGAAGTACGTATCAAATTTATTTTCAAATTAAAAAAAAAGAAGTTAGATTTAGGTTTCTAAAAACATTATAAAGGAGTTAGGGTGATGAATTCGAGTGGTTTAGTCCAAGTCTTGGAAAGAGATACAATCTGCTTAATATGACAATCAGACTTCATTTAAAGGGGTGGTTGACTGCTTTTTTTCTAGGCTTGATTGTGTTTATGGGGTGCAGTCTAACATGCGTTAATGCTTCGTAATAACAAAAAAAAAAAAAAAAAAACGCATTACTTTTCACATAATTCACCTTTATTCTACACAGCTCTGACCTTTATCTTATGAACGCTCTGATGATTTCCTGGTTTTATGAAGCCCCTACCTCAGAAATATGCAATGGGCTCAGATTGGTTAGCTGGCCCAGTGTGTTGTGATTCGCTAAACCGCCTAGTGCACGTCCAGAAACACCAAGCCTTTCACCTGAGAATGTGCTCTGGTTATACTGTAAACAATGGCGTCGTCAATATTGCTTATATTGCATCATCAATATCGAGCACGATTGAGACCCAGAGAATATTAGTGAAGAGGATCGGTATGTTTTTTGTCTGTTGTTGTCTCATACTTTTAGATACGCTGTTATTTGTAAATGCTACTGCTTATGTTAGCTTTTAATATACGGTTTTATCCTGATTAAAGCTTTAATACAGAAGAATACATGATTGTGTTGTAGCATTTTTGTAAAGTAATTGTTTATTTTGTAACAGCAAGAAGTGTTTGCCAGCAAGTATTGCTCACTATCACGGCAACCGCATGCACGTCCATGTTTAACGCTTCTCGTAGCTATTGAAAAATATCTGTGTCTATACACAAAATGTATAATTGGAACACAGTTCATTGATGAGCTCATGATCTGAATGAGGGAGAGAGAGAGAGAGAGATGCAGAGCGTGTGCAGAGCAGGGGGGCGCGAGGAACAGGATTAAGAACTGCTGCTTTGAACCTTGTGAATCCATTAAAATTGTTAGAAGACAGAATCGCGATTCATATATAAATAGATTTTTTCGTGCACCCCTAATTTTGAAGGCATGGCAACAACTCTTCCTCTTCTCTAAAGCTGGTCGCACACTAGACGATTTTCAAATCTTAACCGATTTTAAAACCATGGTATCCCACAGACATGATTTTTAGCCTTATAATCCTCTGAACGCACACACTAGACGATTAGACCAGACTGTGAGACCACACACTTGTCGATTGTAGGGACGATATCACAGTGACATGAGATCTAACGGAGACTCGCGAGACCAAACGTGACTAGAGAAGAAAAACAAATAGAGGACAATCGATGCTGTCAGCTGGCTCTCCTGGCGCGAGTTCTGTTTCACAGTGAAAAACAATGTATAAAAAAGAATATGGGTGATGTATTCTGCTTTCGTGGCATTTTTGTGGCTGCCAAGTTTTAGCTATAGAAGCATGCAACATCCAGTAGGTGACGCTTGCTCGTTCTCATTGGCTATCACAAGTATCACGTCAGAGGCAGCCTGATCAAGGGTCGTAAATATCAAACATGCTTGATAGGCCGCAAATCGGGCCACAACCCCCAATCGTTCGGGGGTGCAAATCGGGCTAAAAATCCTCTAGTGTGTGGACCGCTTAAAGCAGCTCAACATGACCTCGCCCCCTTTGTTGCATGTTCCCGGGGGCAGGTTTATGTAAATGTCAGGGTTTGTGATGTCACCAACCTGGGAAGTAGCTTGTTGTAGTCCCTACGAGCCGTAACTGCACGCATTAAACTGCCATAATTTTAAAAGACAATATCTCTTTGTGCATTGAACTTTCAGCATCGTAACTTTGCAGATATTGTTTAAGCTCAAACAGCAACATTATACACTAACTAAAGTTAAAAAAGTGAAATCACAATCAACCACCCATTTAAGCATTTATTCAGATATAAACGCAGAAACATCGAGTGAATCAAACATGGAAGCTGCAAGACGTTATGTGTAGATCAATCCTCACTAGTTCTAGTGCAGCATCAGTCAATAAATTGTCGTGTTTCTATATTGGCTTCAGACAATCATTACACCTGGGGGGTGTTTCAATAGCATCAGCTACTAACGCACCATATTCCTTCCCTATTCAACCAAGGTTACATACCTAACAGGGACATTCTCAAAAGATTTTATACAACTCAGCAATGTATCCATCTGTACCAGGGGTATTGCTAGCTTTTAATCTCTTTATTTATGCATTTATTTCCATTTAATTATTAACTATTTTTATTAGCTATTTTACTGATTAGTTCAGTTAGTTCTTGATTGTTCATACAAAAAAGGCCAAGGAGACTTACCAATTGTTCCTGGTTCTTCATCTGGTCAGCTGCTTGTTTAGCCAGAGCTGCCTTGGCCTCCTCGGCTGCCTGTTTCTCTTTCTCCAGCCTCTCTGCCTCCTCCTTTGCTCTTTTTCGCTCTTGTTCAAGCTCTAGAGCTTTGCGTGTTTGCTCCTCCAGCTCTACACAAACAGACACACAGAGTATAACACATATTGGTTATATCAATCGAAATGTAGCAGAAAGTAGCATTATTTAACTTCCTGATGTAGATGTTGGAGAATTAAGGGAGGTGCCATTAATTCTCTAACATCTACATCAGTAAACTGATCAGGAAGGCAAATTCTATGAGGACAACTTCAACAGGCAACCACATCATAAACACTGGCATGATACTACAAAATGCCTGTGTAGCTGGAGATTGTTTTTTAGATCCCTGAGATCTTTCCTATGCCAAACAGACAAATCAGCAACCAACCCAAAAACCGCAACAAATCTAGCTAATGGGAAACATGGGGACTCAGGAGGAGGATGCGAAAGGAAATACATATTTTTTTTTTTTTAAGGGACTTCAAAGTGTTTTTTCTGGTTTAAGAAAATTACCTTCCTCAGAAGACAGCCCTACGAGAGGCGAGAGATTTAGGTTTAGTTAGTATGACACTCCACTAATGTGGAGAAAGTTTCAGAGGCTAAATAGCCTCTGACATCACATTTGTTTTTATAGCTGCTCTCAGCTTGAAATATAACACATTTCTACCAAAATCCTCATTTCTGAACCTCTACAAGACACAAATAATAACTAACAACACAACAAAATAATGGGAAAAAATATAGGAAAATAAATAGGATTAAAAAAAAAAAAAGATGTTGACATCAAGGTTGTCAAAAATTAAATATTTTGGTACAAATTCAACTTGGCAATATGGCTAGTACAATGTGTTTGCTCCACTTTTTAGGCTTGCAAATCACATTTTTCCTGTAAATGCTCATTATGCATTTACAAAAGTTTCCTGTAATTTTTTTAATTTTCTAATTTTGTCAAGTCCATGCAGTTTATTGTTATTAAAAAAGACGTGGTTTATTATTGTGCAATAACAATTTTGGTATTGTGCAAAACTTGAGTCCTGAAGCAAAACCATTTGAGAACTAGTGATGTAAAGTGTTCTACTTCCTGGCACTAGAGGGAGGGAATAACTCGCACAGTGAAGTCCAGATATGTTCGTACCTTTCTGTGCTTTTATCGTCTGTTCCTCAATCTGTCTCAGTCTCTCGATTAACTCATCCTTTTCTCGCTCTATTCTCTCCTTCTCCTTTTCTGCATGCTCTCGTTTCTTCTTCTCGTTCTCAAGCTGAGCTCTGGAGACAGGAGGATACAGTAAATTTGATTTATGCAGCAAAACTTCAAAGTTACTTTGTCTGATGCCTAGAGTTATCACTTTCGAGAAAACAGAAACAGAAAAAAAAAAACATTGCAAGCAACTAAAGTCCACATAACTAAAATGATCAAACTTCAAAAAAACTCAAGTAGACTAAGATTATAATACTCAATTCATATAGACTATTTTTACGATGTCCTTGTGAACTTCTTGAAGCTTGAAAACTTTGGCTGCATGGACTTTCAATGGCTAGACAAACATGTTGAGAGAATACTGAAAATGTGTTTATTTGTTTTCCTATGTTAAACCAAGGTCTTATGGTTCTGGAACATGAGACTGAGTAAATGGTAATTTAAATTTTTAGGTGAACTATCCCTTTAATACCAATACACAGAGGCATAGCAACCATTGCAACTTTCAGAAATTTAAGTTCATCCAACTTTTTGGGCAATAATTATTTTAAGAGCATCTTCATCTTTCATCAAGTTCAGCAAGCTCCAGTAGGTAAAAATTAATAGTCCATAACTTGTATAAACAGTGATTAATCATAATTAAATAATTCAGCATATTTAACAATAGTAACAATTTAATAATCATTATATTTTTTAAAACCGTAAAAATACAATACTAATATTCATAACCGTCTCAAAACCATAGAACTTTTTTGGGCAGAAAACCACAGGGAGACCCAAAAGCTTCAATTTGGTGACAACAGCTTTAGAAATTTAGAATTTTTGACTATCATATGAATTTTGAGAATAATTACTTATACTTAGTAAACTAAGTATAAATTAAAACATAAAAGATAAAAATGCAAAGAAAAGAAAGTTTATGTAAATTATGTAATGTAAAGTGTTCATTATCACCTCTCTATCTGTTTCTGGTGTTTTTCTTCTCTGGCCTGAGCCTTCATCTGCTGCACCTCAATGGTGTCAGGCTTCCTCCTCCTCATGTACAGCTCATGGTTGCCCATACACAGAGCCAGGATGCGCTTGTTGATTCGCAGTCGTGGTGCATAGAACACAAAGTCCTGCCATCACAATTGAGAAGATTCAGTGAACATGTTCATATTTGACCTCTGCATGCTATGATTGATATGACTGATCTCACTGATATGACTGATACTTGTTCTCCAAATGTATAAAGTTTTGAGAAGTTTGTGCCCACAAATGATATAGGCATTTTAGTCATAATGGGCAACGCCAACAAATTTTTCAGATTGTATCTGTTAAATTTAATGGATTTTGATGAAATTTTTGATACGTACCCCCCCCCCCCCCCTGAAATATACTGTACATGTGTTAGGGTTTAAGCGTTTAAAGTGTTCAGTAGAAACAAGAAGTTTGATACTATCACGTATGGTTGTGGAGTTAATAACAAAGTAGCTTATTATAGTGCCACCCAACTTCATGTCATTCCACGAAATTGGTGCCTTTTCCACTTGGCAAAATTAAAAAATAAAATAAGCTTAATCAACATTTTTTAAATATCCATGAAATGAAGACACCTTCAAATGACAAGAAATTGTATTGTGCCTTCTCAGTCCATGTAATTTATTATTTTTTACGACAATTTTTCTGCCTCATGTTTTGGTATCTTTGTCAACCCTGTTACTGACAAGCATTACTAGATACTTTAGTTAGAACTATGTTTGTAACTATAATTAGAACTATGTGATTGTTTTCACATATATGAGCATTTATATTTATTTATAGTTTTAGCTTTTGGTTTTGGATCTGTTTTTAGTTGTTTTAATACTACAATTGATTGCTTCTGTTGTCCTCATTTGTAAGTAGCTTTGGATAAAAGCCTCTAATAAATGACTAAATAAATAAATAAAATAAATAATCATTAAATCACCACCACAGCGTCTTGTCTCCATCGGCATCAGTTTACGAAATTGTTTTTTCATCAATCGTTTTCGTCTTACGAAAATAACCTTGGATCAGACCAGACCAAGATGCTGAAACCAAGACCTTGATGCTGAAATTTGGTTTCACTTTCTTGAAAACTGCAAGACTGGGGTGAGGGTTTGCAGTCAACTTGCTGCTCTTGTTTGTAATTGAATTTACATGGATGCATTATTGACAATGAGTTATGGGGAAAAAAAAGTTTTATTGAGACTGATTATCCTATCCTGGTCATTAACAACAACAGTAATAGTAACTAGTGTTGGGCGATATGGTAATTTTTCAAATCATCATATCGCCAGTCCGTGAGATCGCCAATAGACGATATTATTGTGCATGGGTGGGTGGGGGCAAGAGAGAGACTCCCTGTACTTGTCATAGGCTATTTCATAACTATTTGGTGTTTTAAACCGCGCACGCGCGCGAGAGAGAGGGAGCCTATGGAAGCACCACGAATCTTTTTCAAACATACTGATAAACTAACATGTTAAATACAAAAATATTT